TCCGGAAATCCTAAACCCTCATAGAGCCCTTTAAAGGAACCCTTATAGTACCCTTATAGTAGGTACCCTTTAAAGGAACAATTGGGGCCCCCCCCTATTTTCGGAAACTCTCAATTCTTGGGACTTCTTCTCTGGGCTTTGAGGTTCCGGCGGAATTAGGGGGTTAGGAGTTTAGGGTTTAGGGGTCAGGGGGTTAGGGTTTAGGGGTTTATGAAGCGGTCATCGGACGATCCAGGCGAGACTGATGCAGGGATCCTTGCTCCAGATACAACACAGGGACGAACTAATTATGAATTACAAGCCAGTCTACGTCGAGCGTAATACCGAGCCCACGTGACTTTGGGACAAGCAAACATTAACGGGCACTCCACAGGCTCCCGGGGAGGCTCAAAGGAGATGGCCACCGCCCGGCTGTACCGTCTGTGCACCCAAAAGATTTCAGAGAGTTTACTCACGTCCGCGCGGACTGTACATGGCGCGATAAGTATCGATGGGACCTCCTCATTGATGCCCCACTGTGACAGCGTTTTGGCACGCGGCATCGGAAAATCAATCCCAGCTTCTTTAAACATGAAGCGCACTATGTTTCTAAACAAGTTTAATTAATTGTTTTGAAAGGAGAGGTCGACACAACTTGAGTTGCGGGTACTCCGTTTCGTGCACAAAACACGCAGGGACATCTGCGACAAGCTCTATGGGCAACTGGGAAGGCTGCCAGGCGGCAACATTTACCGGAGACAACCACCCGGTGGCGTTTGCAAAATGCAAGTACAGTTCTAGAAGACTAACCCCAGACTCAGTTTTGCACCAAGACTGTCCTAGGCAGTACTGGCGAAAAACCTGGCAAAACCTGGGCCCGAGCAAAGCACTCAGAACCTCAACCCTATCTAAACCTTGAACCGAAACAGGGGAGCCAAGCAAAAGTGGCACACTGCGTGGAGCAACCCGAGGGGCAGTTACACCAGTGTCGTCTGCAGTACGTGTTCTGCTTTGGCGTGAACTAGCACAGCAAAGCGTGTGCTGTTGCAATTGAAACACAAGTGTGGCTTGATGGACTTGCGCCTGCAAATTTTGGCGCGCACGCCTGAACAGGGAAAGAGTGACCTCATCCTGCACATGTGCGCTCTTAGCCGTCCGATCAGCAGCATCATTATGGAAAGCAGTCCACTTGTCATGCGCAGTGGTGCACAGATTAGGGTTACGGTGGGACTCAACGTGGTGAATACGAAAACGGCCGCTTTTGGATTGGAGAACTTCCGCAATTTCAAACCACAATTCCGGCTCAGCAGCCTTTATCCACCACGAATGAACCCATCCTTTCCGAAGCAAACGCTTAAACCCCAAGACTACCCCAAGACTATCACTGTAGATATCTGCTGCCTCAGCCTGACGCACAGCAACGAAGACTGCAAAAAGTTCTGCACGGAAGTTTGAGGGTTTAGGGTTTAGGGGTTTAGGGTTTCGGGGTTTATGGTTTCGGGTTTAGGGGTTTAGGGGTTAGAGTTTAGGGGTTTGGGGATTCAGGGGTTTCGGGTTTACAGGGCTTCGGCTCCAGGGTCCCTGAGATGCAGGGGGCTGTCTTAATGCTTTAATGAACTTTGGCATCGTCCTGGGCTTGAGCCCAAGGTCTCAAGCTGAAGGCCCGAATCATCTTACCTTTGGTTAGTAGGGAATGGAAGGATGGTAGTAATAGTAATTAGTTATAATTGTACCCCATTCCTCCATTCCCTACTAACCAAAGGTAAGTCATGAACTGTGTAAACCGTCAACTCCTAAAGCTTAGATCCCGAAACCCCAGATTGATTGAACCCTGAAGCTACCTTGTCATTTGATGGGGCCCCGTGAATTCTGATTGAGTTGGGAATCTGAAGTGTGCAAAAATTTTCCCAAAACCTAATCCTTACCCCACACCCAGAACCCCTTTTTGAACCCCTTCTTCTACACAAAGGTTTTGGGTTAATTTCGGGTTCCAGTGGCCCCTAACCCCTGCAGCCTAAAGCTCCCAAATTTGAAACCAGAACGACGCTGAAAGTCCCTTCTTTGTGGCTGCTCCCCCCCACCTCCCCTTTCGAAATTGGGTGGTTGTCAAAATTATGGTCCCTTTTTGGGCATCTTAAATGTTAGGTTCCGTATCATAATAAGGACCCAAACAGGGAGTATACCTTCTGAAAAAGGAGCCGATTTAAGGGTCCGAGCCCGAGACCTCGCAATTGCAGTCAGGAGTACGCTGCTTCTGGCGCTCATGCCTTCGAGGTTTGCTGTTCCTGTGGCAGTGGCCGTGTCGCGCCTCGATTGCATAATTTGATTCTTTGAGACTATCCTAAACGACAACGCGATGTCCCTAGCGGGTGCAGAATCCAAGCACTGCTGTGTAGACTCATGTGAAGCAGGGTTTAGAGTGCGAGGCTCTGATGCGAGCAGTGTCTGTACAGAGGATTCCGAAGCCTACTTGGAGGTTCAGGGGTAGTTGTAAGTGGGGTTATAAGTCCCCTAATTAGGGTTGTAAGTATAGTTACCCTAGTCATAATCCTACTTATAACTACCCAAGAACCTGCAAGTGCTTCATGCCTTCGTAGGATGCTTTACCACTTCTGTTTCAATCACGGAGGGCTTCATGGCAGTTCCTCGGCCCGTCCCCCTCACCACACCCCCCGACCGCCTTCAACAAAAGCCCTAAACCCCTAACCCTAAACCCTAAGAGCCGAAACCGCACCCCCGAAGTTGCCGTCAGAACAAAACTCTGAATCCAGAATCCCGAACTTCCCGAACCAAATTAAAAGCCTGGGCCTAAACTCCATGCTCAGGGTTTCTGGAGGTTTGAATGTTAGGTTGTGGGCTTTCTGGGGCTTGGTGTTTAGGATGCAGCTGTTACTTTAAACCCTGAATTGAACGGACCCTAGAGCTTAAACCGCCCCGAACTTAAAGATTGGCTTCCAACGCGCAGCATGCCAGAGATTATTAGGGTTTCGGGTTTAGGGGTTCAGGGTGTAGGGCTTCGGTAGATTAGGGTTAGGAGGGCTTGGCTGGGTCCTTGTTGAGGAGCGTAGCTGAAGCTAGCAAACTGATAAGGAAACCCTTCTGCTTGCCATACATCCCCCATTATGCGAACTGAAATTCCGAACCCACGTTCGGGGTTAGCGGTTAGCAGGGCTTTGGGTTGTAAAGCTCGGGCGTTACTTAGACCTTCTGCCACCAGAACGCCTGTTGATTCAGGGACTCTCGAACACACCCAGCAGAAGTCAGGAGCCGGGTCTCGAGGGGGTGATTCTTGCACTTTTCACGCCCTGTTCGTTTCCTAGAGAGAGGCCAGAGAGGGGCATGACTAGAGTCGGGTCTTTCGGGTTTGTCAGAGTATAGTCACACAACGGCAGAGACGACAAAGGCTATGTTATTATTTTTATTTCTCATCATACCACTATTCAAATAGGTCCAGAACAGGACTCATCTAAGCCAGGCACAGAGATGGATATCAGCGTAGCAAGGTTAAGGATTAATGCATAGAGTGGGCATGTTTGCTGCTAGGAGTCCTCGACTCCTCATTGAGTCTTTGGGTCTGTTGCTCATACACATGACAAAGTCGGCGAATTCCTCGCAAGTCGGCACGGCAGGGTTGGGATTGTTGTTAAAACCCTAAAGCTTTGAGTGGAGCAGGAGTGCCCGGAGCCAGTAATGGGGCCTGATGAGAACGAGGATGGCGTGGATGACTGCCATTTGGCTGCAAGTCCGCTGGTTTAGCAAGTAAGAGTCTATAATAGGGCTATCATTAAGGTCCTAATATATCTATACTCTGAATATTCTTCAACTATTACTGAGTGGTTGCCGTATGCAAGGTATGAACCCTAAACCCAACCCTATCCCTCTAGGGACCTTATCATGGGGTCCTTAAGGGGTCTAGGGCCCTAACTATGAGGTCCTTGGAGGGATAGGGCAAACCCAGGCCAAAGAGCTAGCGCTGCTAAAGGGTTGCTTGTTACAGGTTACTTAGGGGTACTTAGAAACAATTTTTAATTTCTGGTTATTATAATCCCTAAGAAACAGCTAAGATTATAATTTTTGCTAGGGTTCTAAGTTCAGTATAGTTGCGGTCAGTGAGGTGAAGTTGGCAAGTCGGGGTTTACGATAGGGATTCCGCCCCAGACTTGCAGTCTTAATCTTGTGGGTTTTGAGGCTTTAGGGCACGTTTGTTTCGCTATCGGATCGTCAGTGTCAGTTGCGGTTCAGGCGGGGCGGGCGTTTCTTCCGAGGTCTTTTCCTGGCCTTCGTGAGCCTAGAAAATGAAAGCAGCTTTCACGGAACACTTCGGCTTCACCATGTCGTGCAGTATTCTTACCGTCTTACCCTGTTGGCCGAATAGAAATCTTTTAGTGCCGACTGCCGTCGGAACGAAGCCAAGGCTTCATCCCGCCAGAGACGACGACCACCGTCAGTACAGCGCCGCAGCCGGCAGTTGGCTTAGGATTCAGGAATTAGGGTCTGGTGAGAGCCTTGTGACTAGTGGCTAGTGTTTCTTGAGAAGTGCCCAAAACGAGCGGCTTTAACCCTAATTAAGCCCTATAAACCCTAAATGCATTCTCATGATAAGGATCCGCGAAAAGACGCACTGATCAAACAGATCCCATGGGCTTATACAGCCTTATCGTCCGCCTTCAGACTTGCTAAGATACCGCTTGGGAATACGAAATATCCACTGGTTCAGGCTCCGTCACTCAATGAGATGTTTCTTTATGAAGTCATAGCTTCTGAGCCCAAACACAAGTTCTGAACCTGGCTGTGTCTGCAGCAAGCTTCCCGCGAACCCCAAAGAACTGTCTCGAACAGTAGAGAGTCCACCCTTTACCTACTTTTGTTTTGAGGGTGGTGCGGCTTGCCGGACGGTGTGGGCTTCAGGTTTAGGGTGGTTGAGGTAGCCTTTTCAGTAACCTTCATAGTATAATCAGTAGCACTTAAAAACAGGCCCATTATAGTCTCGCTCCAGAACCCAGCGGCTCTTGCCTTACGAGGTCACGACCGTGACGTCCGTTACAACAACTTCGAGGACCACGGCGACGATCACCACAAAAACACGCACATCAACGACGACGAGCTTCATCTCCACCACTTCTCTCACTTTAACCTCCTCCACAGTCACGACTGTCACCACGACGTCGGCCACCACTACCACCATCACGACCACCACGCGGACTGACACAACGTCAACATCGGTCACCACAAGCACAGAGACCACATACAGCACGATTACATACTCGACCACAACAACCTCCTCTGCCACGGCGACCACCAAGACCTCTAGCAGCACGCACACCACATCTACTTCAGAGACTACAGTGACTACATCTTCGTCGACGGCCACGACGGTGACCACCAGCTCCCTTACCTCGACCTCCACCACGCAAACACGCAGCACAAGCACTTCGAGCAGCAAGACGGAGTCTGGGCTCGAGTGTAGTATGTAGTTGCGCCCCCATCCAGCCGAAGCGGTGAGCTGTGTCGTGCAGAGCCTAAACCCTCAATATCAGGAATCCACCACGACGTCTTCGTCAAGCACGATGACGACGAAGACCACCACGTCAACCAGCAAGACCTCCACTGTCTGAGCCCAAGCAGCGACAGGATTGAGCGATAGTAGGGACATGCAGGGACCTACAGTAGGTAAGACGCTTCATTGTTATTATTATTGTTTTTACAGTACTGAAGCTAAAGTTAAATTCGTTACAGGGGGGGGGGGCTGAGGGAGTGAATGAAAGAACGGTGGTGGGGTAGGGGCATTACGTATAGAGCCTATATGTGCTTCAATGGGGCTTTGTCGGGCCGGTGAGTTTTGACCGGTGTTCTTCTGGGGCGGGTTCCACTTGGGCTTTTTTTGCGACAGTGCCAGAAACCCATACATGCACACACAATCGAAAGTTGTCCTGCTCAAGTAACTTCAGCTGGTGCTTCGACTCGTGGAATGTGACATGATACAGCTTCCTTTCTCCTGGCCTGGTTCATGGAGTCAGGGCTTTATGGTTTTGGGGGGTTTAATATAATTTCAAGTAGCAGTGGACGTGGAAGAACTGCTAGTTGCCCTGGTACACGCATGAAGACTCTTTGCATAATCCCAAGCCCTAAACCCTGAACCCTGACGCCCTCCCCCTAAAAAAAACAGACCAGACGACTGGTCAGGTGACATCCACCTCGACCGCAACGAGCACTTCCACGTCCTCGACGCCTCTTGCTTCAGATGGTTTCGATGGTGGTTTGGCGGAGCCCTAAACTCAATCCCCATCGAACTACACTCACCTTGATATACCTGTGACTGTGGCTGAGGTGAAGAAGTCAAAAGTGTTTTTGCGTCTGGGGTGTAGGGGTTTAGGTTCTAGGGGTGCTAAGCTCTACGGCTTGAGGGTTTGCAACTCAAGGTTTGTTTGCATGAATTTGGGTTTCAAGGTCTCAGCTTACAAACATAGTAAATCACAGTAATGTATGGAGTAATGTTGTTTTTGATTTTGGCGTTTAAGATCTAGGTTCAGGGGTTTGCGGGCTCGGGGAATAGCCGGTTTAGGTCCACGACAAGCTCCAGCACAACGAGCTCAAGCACCACGAGCACGACAAGCCTAAGTGCTCTGGATGTGCATCAGCCCCTTCACCAACTAAGACAACTCTGGGGCGTGAATCCTAAATACAGTAGGTCCTGATTTTTGGTTTCGGTTTTTCGTTTTACAATAAAGTGGTACCTACCAGGGCATTTCATGCTTGTTTCTTGCGGGAGTTTCAGGCATCAAGGCCTTGTGGATTCATTCTCCGTGCCCAGAAAGACCTTTTTGGGCTTCAGAACCCTAGGCCCCAAAAGCCCCGAGTCGGAAGAGCCGCAAACCGCCGAAGCCGAGGCCTTTAACCCTCTGGCACCAAACCCGAACTAATCGGTTTAGGGCCTAAGCATCCGAAGTCCACGAACTTCGAGGTCAAATCCAATCAAGCCCTCAAAACGCTCAGCCGCAAAGGCATCCTTCCCCATAAATCCCGGAAGCATGGAGTCTCAAGAGGACCGTACACCCGAAACCTTAAGAAGATGCCTACACTCTGAAACCCTGGACGAATGCCTAGAAGTTCTAAGCCCCAGATGCTCGAAGCCCGCAGCAGCCTGGAATTTCAAGCTGCGGAAACCTACAGAAGACCTTAACTCCAAAGTTGCCTTAAACCCTAAACTCTGAATCCTATACCCTGTAAACCCTAAACACTGAATCCTATTCCCTGCCTTCTAAACCACAACCGTAAGAATCGAAAGCTAAACCTCCTACACCTAAAGCCAAACCCTAAACACTACAGGCCCATACCTCTAGCTTTATGGTCTGTAGGGTTAAATCCGATACTCAACGCCCTCAATCCTAACCTGCAAGACTTGCTAAGCTTTCTTGAGATCTTATGAAAAACTTTAAACACCACATAAACCTTTAAGAGTTGAACTACCGACCAGGCACGACCACGACCTTGACTGTTCAGCTCGCATCGATCCCCTCTCCGGCTCACACGGTCGGGGGACTTGGTCGGCTTTTACTTTTCTAGGTTTTGGGGTTTGAGGGTTTAGGGTCTAAAGTCCCACTTGTTTGGAGGCTTTAGAACCAGGGGGTGTTTTGATCAGCTTCGTACCATACCCAGCTTCCAGTGTTCCGAGCGCTTTCAAGAGCAGAGGTCAAGAGCACACTGCTGCTTGTGGGGACGAACGTGACTCCCCCCGGCTCCGGCCTCAGCGATGACTCTGTTTCTGGGTATGTGTGTGAGAATGCAAACAGCGTTCCGCGAAGTAGTTCAGGGTATTTGGGGGTTGGGGTATAGGTTTTTTGGTTGGGGGTTTAGGGCTGGAGGGTTTCTGGGACAGGAGAAACTTACGACCATGCCTTTGGCGAGAGCGCAGCGATCTCACTGCTCTTCTCGTGTTGTTGACGTTTCTTTGGGGAGGTTCTCGTTGGAAGGGTCTTAGTATTGTCGCTATAGTTGCTGTTCATGTTGGCTGCAAACATCGCAAGGCTGCCATCCTTCTTAGCAATACTTGCTGATTTCGTGGTGCTTCTACAGACCACAATATTGACAGGACCGTTGTGGTTATCGTGTCAGGAAGATGATAAGCATTACTGAGTCTTGACTTGTTTCGCTTTATAGCTGCGGGTTTGATTTTCCCTCTAGACAACCCAATTCGTAGGATCCTGCGGCCTTCGAAAGCGGCCTTCGAAAAGAAAAGTCGACGCAAATCCTCCGAACCTTGAATCTGTGGCAGAACCCCGAAACTTCATGACCTGCCCTGGAACGTAATCAATCATGCCGCCCACAAAGCCCCATGTTACCGCCCAGACCTCGTTGCCTACTTGGAGGTTCATGGGTAGTTATAAGTGGGTTCTAAGTCCCCTGAATAGGGCGATATGTATAGTTACCCTAGATATATCCCCTAAACCCGAATCCCTACACCCTATAACCCTATGTGGCAAGGACCTTTACGCTTTATTTGGCCAAGGTCTGGGAATTGTGCGCGTGCATACGTACAGAATAGCGTGTCAATCACAGTCGCGACATGTCTGAGAGGAAACGCACTTATCAGAACCAATGGAGGAAAAAGCGAGAAGTAAAGCACAAGGACAAACAAGGGGCAGTTGGGAAGCGGCCGATGCAGCCACAACCCGCCTGCGGCCGATAACAGCCACAGGCACCCGAGGCGGCCGATACAGCCACAACGGGGAGATCAAACAAAACAAACACAGTAAGGCGTCGACCAGATGTCAATGTTGTCCATGTTCTCGATGGTCTGCAATCTGCACTGGCCATTAGTAATATCGAAACTATGAGGTTTAAGAGCTATAGAATATGCAATTCATTGCCACAGAGACTGCTAAATCCTTAAAATTTAAATGGGCCAAGGTTTGGGCTTTGGAAAAGTTAGCAAACCATTAAATTTTTAAAAATCTTCAAAATCTTTAAAATTTAATTGGCCTGCCAATTAATTTTTAATGATTTTTAAAATTTTAATGGCCTTAAAATCTTTAAAATCCTTAAAATTTAAATGGGCCAAGGTTTGGGCTTTGGAAAAGTTAGCAAACCATTAAATTTTTAAAAATCTTTAAAATCTTTAAAATTTAATTGGCCGGCCAATTAATTTTTAAGGATTTTAATGGCCTTAACATCTTTAAAATCCTTAAAATTTAAATGGGCCAAGGTTTCGGCTTTGGAAAAGTTAGCAAACCATTAAATTTTTAAAAATCTTTAAAAACTTTAAAATTTAATTGGCCGGCCGATTAATTTTTAAGGATTTTTAAAATTTTAATGGCCTTAACATCTTTAAAATCCTTAAAATTTAAATGGGCCGAGGTTTGGGCTTTGGAAAAGTTAGCAAACCATTAAATTTTTAAAAATCTTTAAAATCTTTAAAATTTAATTGGCCCGCCAATTAATTTTTAAGGATTTTTGAAATTTTCATGGCCTTAAAATCTTTGAAATCCTTAAAACAATTTTAAAAATTTAATGGTTTGCTAACTTTTCCAAAGCCCAAGCCTCGGCCCATTGAAATTTTAAGGATTTTAAAGATTTTAAGGCCATTAAAATTTTAAAAATCCTTAAAATTTAATTGGCCGGCCAATTAAATTTTAAAGATTTCAAAGATTTTAAGGCCATAAAAATTTTAAAAATCCTTAAAAATTAATTGGCCGGCCAATTAAATTTTAAAGATTTTAAAGATTTTTTGAAATTTAATGGTTTGCTAACTTTTCCAAAGCCCAAACCTCGACCCATTTAAATTTTAAGGATTTTAAAGATGTTAAGGCCATTAAAATTTTAAAAATCCTTAAAAATTAATTGGCCGGCCAATTAAATTTTCAAGGTTTTAATGATTTTTTGAAATTTAATGGTTTGCAAACTTTTCCAAAGCCCAAACCTTGGCCCATTTAAATTTTAAGGATTTTAAAGATTTTAACGCCATTAAAATTTTAAAAATCCTTAAAAAATAATTTGCCGGCCAATCAAATTTTAAAGATTTTAGAAGCCATTCAAATATTGAAAACCTTTAAAACTTGAAAGGCCAGATATTCGAATACGGATCTCTGTGGCAAAGAATTATAACAACGAAGCCGAATGCCAAATAGAACATAAAGGTCCTACGTACATAACCCTATAGATCCTTTGAAAGGAACCCTACTTATAGCTACCCATGAACCTCCAAGTTCCCTGGACCCAGGCATCTCCGCATCTCTGCAAGCCGAGCTCGCCGCGACCTTCGGAATGGATCTGGACGCCGTGGAGGTTCTTCCAGTTGAAGCTGACTTTGGGGTTCCCTGCTTCGAGCTTAAAAGGGTTTGGGAAGCCAGGATGGGGGCTGCCAACTTTGGGGTTTCATAGTCAGGGCTTTTGAAGTCTTGGTACAGTTCGCCTTAGCCTTAACATTCAGAAAGTGCTCCTTAGGTTTGCGCAATAGACAGTTATGATAGTCTTATAGTACCTAGCAACAGAAGTGGAGCCTTAGTCTTTGGAATGGTATTCCAAGGGTTGCTTAATTTACGATGTCTTAGTTAACATAGTATAGAGTAGAGAACCTCGGCCCGATACTTAAGGCCACCATACTGTCCAAAGGGCCTCGAGGGTTCCAGCGAACAGACGCTCCTCACTTATGGACCAAAAATCCGCGCATGGTATTCACAAGGCCAAGAATCACACCGGCTTCTTACAGCACCTGCACCAGAGAGAGCCTGCGAGGGAAGGAAGTGCAAGTTTCAGTGGAATATCCCACGACATAGCCCTTGCTCGCTCCAGACTTTCACTGCGGGTTAAACCCACAACCCTGGTCGCGAGGTGCTCTCGATCAAGGCGGCTCTTGCGGCCTCGTGGTAGCAGAAGCATGCGGATTCATGGGTCTTCTGGGTTCCTTTGGATGGGTGACTTGGGGCTTCAATTCTATATTATCTTAAGTCGTTCAGGGTTGGATTACTCTCAATTGTCGGTTACGTAGGTTGGGCTTCCTTGCTTGCCAGAAGACGGAGGAGGTGATTGAGGTGGCATCGGTTCTGTTCTAGCCTTCTCTTCGAGGCGCTCATGCCTAGCACAGTTTACATATCGTCTGCTATGAGCCCCTTCAGAATACTTACCCTAAACCCTAAACCCTAAACTTACCCTAAACCCTACACCTTGAGTTTTCGAAGCTAACAGGGTGTGGAGAAGCTTGCATGAGCCCGGTACGAAGATGCCGTGCCGTCCCCAAGCCATAGTCTTCTGCTCCCTGCTTGGAGGTTTAGGGTTTAGGGTTTAGGGCAACTATACGTATAACTCATGGTAACTATACATGTAGCTCATATTCGGGGACTTATAACCCTACTTATCACTACCCATGAACCTCCAAGTGGTTCTTAGTCGGGAATGGGTGGAATGGATCCTTATAGAAGGCCCTATATAATCCCCTATAACCGTCCCCATGACCCATTCCCCCCCAGTCCCTACTAAGACCCTATAAACCCTAAACCCAGGGAGTTCCGCGAGAGTTGTTGTTGGGGGCCTCACTTCCAAGGACTTCGTGAACTCCTCGGAAGCAGGAGGTCGCCCCTAAACCCCACCGACTAAAGGGGGTATAATAATTAGAATAAGGTTTTGGGGCATATTCTACGATAAATGTAATGAGGAACACCAAAAAGAAATAATAGAAATTATTCAGGCCCCTAGATTAGCCGCAACTCTCATGCTGGTGTTCGTGAGGCCATGTTCTACCCGGGCCGCTCATTGAGCGACGAGGATGCTGGGTTTTTGACGTTCTTTTCTTTCTACTTTAGATTCGGGAGTTCCCGAAAATAGGGGACCATAATATAGTACCCTAAATAGTAGGATCCTTATTATAAAGATACACCCCTAATTTTCGGAAACTCCCATTCGGCGTTTAGTATCTAAAAACGAAGGACTGACCTGGCAAGCCAGATCGCAACCTGGCCTGACATGTGGGAGTTTCCGAAAATTCGGGGTACCTTACCTTGGGGGTTCCTATAATAAGAATCCTACTATTTAGAATGCTATATTAGGGTCTCCCCTGTTTTCGGAACTGCCATGTAGCTACCCTTACTTGAACCTCTGCTCGGCTCTGTAGCCCTAGCTACTCTACCCTGCACCCCAAACAGGCTGGTCAGGTGGCTCTCCGTGCGTCTCCCTGAGGAATTGAATTTAAGCCATCCAACTATCAAGGGGTTTTTCTTACCGAATAGCACAGGCATATGACTTGCGAATCGGTATTGGGGAACCTATTTTAACTTCTTTGACGCGAGGAGCTGGGTCCCTCGGCAAGGCGAACGCAGATGCTTGGCAACCTCCGTTGTACGGTTAGCGTTAAGCAGTTGAGGGTGCAGAGTCGAGAGCCTTGCGTTTATGTGTTCAGGGTTTAGGGAATAAATATTAGGGCTGTTAGGGATCGGAGATGGGCCATGCGTAGGCATGCACCGGCCTATATGGTTTAAGTTGACAACCCTCCCGCCCGAAATGCAAACACTCGATCTGCCTCAGAGCTTGAATCGCCTTCCAAAGCTGCATAGAGAAAGACACACCTTGAAATCCTACTTGGAGGTTCATGGGTAGTTATAAGTGGGGTTGTAAGTAGGATAGCTATACTTATAACTCATACTAGGGGACCTATAACCCTACTTATAACTACCCATGGACCTCCAAGTAGGGCTTAAGCTCAACACTTAATTCGAGCTCGTGAATCCGAAACCCAAGGCGCAGAACCCTAAACCCTAAACCCCTGAACCCTAAACCCCAGGATGCAGTTGAAGAACCCTGATCCGTCGGGTCTTCCCCCTTAAGCCCTGGAAGCTCTAAATCCGAAACCCTGAACTCTATGAACCAAAAACCTTTAAACTACTAAACCCCAAACTTTCGAGACTGTAAACTGTGCACATCGAGACTTCGTAATCCCAGGATGACTGTAATGGAGCCAGCTTTGGAGACAGACTTTCAGTTGCTCGTCGGCAGGGTTTGGGGTTTAAATATAGGGTTTTGGGGTTAAGATTTTCGGCTTAAGTTTTTGGGTTTGGGGGTGTATAGTTTAGGATGTAGCATAGTCTTGCTAAGAAGCAATCTGTCACCCGAAGGTAGTCGGGATACATAGTGGCTGGTATGGTTTCCGTTCATGGCAGCGTCAAAATATCTTCCCTAACAGGAACACTGTTTGAGGTTTCGGGGATTTTTATTCGACTGGAATCCTTTGCTGTGTCGGTCGGCAAATTGTCACTAGTTGTGGTAGTGCCGACATGACTTCGGATTGTTTCAGGTTTGACCCCGTAAGTCGAAGCATTTAAACTTCGCCCTGCCCAGATCTGGAGGGAGGCATTTCTCATATTCTGCTCCTTTGTCCTAGAAGGCACATCTTTGCGACCAGAAGCGCTTGACCTCTGCCATCGTAGAAAGCCTACCTTAGGACTGACACTTCGCATAAATCCTAAACCCTGAAACCTGAGCCCTAGCATCAAGGCTCCTATTACCGGTGACGGAGGAGGACACCTCCATGACGATCGACGAGGCTTTCGAGATTCATAGTCTAAGGTTCCCAAGTTCCCGTTTAGGCTTCAGGGTGTCTCATGTTCGCAAGCCCAGGCAACACTTCAGGCGCGCGAGATGCAGCATGCCGGGCATCGTGAAGGTTTCTGTCTTGAAGCGAAAGTCTAAGTCCAGGTACGGTATCAGGTCTACAATCTACAGCAAGATTTCGTATCTAGGCAGCTGTATAGGTTATTTGACAGGCTGCGCGGGGCATGACTGAAATTGTTCAAGGACTCCCTGGAAATTGAAACTGTAAGCACCAAAGAATAAGGGCCCACAGACAAGCCTTCAGCCCTTACAAGCTTCAAGAAGCCCCGTCAAGCTTCACCGAGGTATATACCCTTAATATAGCCATTATATACCCATTATATAGCCCATTATAGGGTAGGGGTCCCCATTAAGGGTCCCTCCTTTTCCCCTTTGAAGCTTCACTCCTGAGCTCTGCACCCAACCCGAAATCCTAAACTGAAAGGTCGACATCTGAAGCCGAGGCCACAACCCCCAACACCCTCAACCTAACTTCCGAATCCGAAGCTGCAAATTCCAAAGCCTGTAGATCCTGAAGAGTCAAGGTTTAGGAGTCGTAAACCCGAAGCCCTTACCACAAACCGCTGACCCCCAGCTGGATCTAAAGAAGTCTGACACGGAAAAGTCTGACACGAAGCTGCTTTGTTTTGGGCCCTAAAGTCCCGGAATGGGAAAGGTTTGAAGGCCAATGCAAATCTATGAAACTCAAATCCGTTTCCCTTCTCGGGCTACATCCGAAAATCTTTCTCCAACATCGACGAACTACGATCGGGCCCCTTTTTGGCTGCATCTACAACCTTGCCCGAAACCTCGTGAAGCTTCAGCCATGAACAACTTCGGTACTGAAACCTGACACCCTACACCTGCAAAACCCGAACCCTGCATGCTAAACCACTGATCCCTAAACGCCCTACCCTGAACACCCCTCTAAAACCCCAAGCCACCTACCTCAAACCCTGTGCCCTAAATCACCGAGCCCTAAACAGTACATTTCGCTAAATCCACGCTGAAACCTCCGAGCGTATACTTGGGAGCATACTAAACTGCCGGCCTTTGTTTTTGGGAGTATACCATAGAATCTAGCCCAAATCTTACTCTAGTTCTAAAGGCCCCCAGAGGGGAGTTATGGTCCCCCAATATTCGGAAACCCCGATCTAGCCCCTAAACCCTAAAACCCAAGCCCTAAACCCTAGGCCCTAAACCCTAAACCCTCATGGCCGGGGATCGACTTGTTTCGTGTTTTTCCTTCATGTGAGCCGATTTGGCTCGCCTCAAGTAGGTTTCCGTAGGCCGTACCCGCGTGCAGAGGGAGAAGAGCGCTCAAAAAAAAGCGGTACCCTAAATGGCCCTAAACCCTAAAGCTACACCCTAGGCCCTAAACCCTAAACCTTAGGCCCTAAACCCTAAACCCTAGGCCCTGAACCCCAAATGGCCCTAAACCCTATAAAGGGCCCTAAACCTTAAAGCTAAACCCTAAAGCCTAGGCCCCGATACAACCTTGAAGCCTCTGGGGACTCCCCCTGGTCCTCTGGAGGCGATGTCCGCCATCTCTGCAGTGCAAGACTCCCCGGAGTCACTGAGCAGCCGAATGGGCCAGGCTGTGGGGTTTAGAGGGATTAGGGTTTAGGGATTAGGGTTTAGGGTTTAGGGATTAGGTTTTGGGGATTAGGGTTTAGGGTTTAGGTTTTAGGGATTAGGGTTTAGGGTGTGTCACAGTGCCACGGCGCGCCCCACCCATGGAGTGGTCGTGGGTCGCGCCGTCTTCGTAACGTGGAACCCACCCACAACCACCCGAAACAGGACTAGAACGGGTTTTGTGTTCTGCTTCTTCTTATTCGAGTGCTGCACTAGCCGAAAAGACGTTGCAATGTTGCGGAACGTCAAAGGGACATCCGAGTGATGTAGTCACAAAATAGCACCGACGCCCTCGCTCGTCCTCGCCGGCCGCCAGAGTCGTCCGTCAGCCGTCGTCAGAGTCGTCCGTCAGGGCCCAGTGCCAGGCCTCCAGAAGTGGTCTGCAGCCGTCCGCTGTCCGTGCCAGTCCGGCCAAGAGTGCTGATCATCCAGTCGGCCGCCAGGTTTTTTCGCCCGGCAGTCCGTGCCAGAATTGTCCAGCTTTGCCGCCAGACTCGCACTCCAAGCTCCTTGCCAGAGTCGGCCACTGTCCCCAAGCTCTTTCTAGGACGTCCCGTCACTGGCTCCCCGCAGGGTCACCCCGCTGTTTTCGCCAGGGTCGCTTGGTCAGAGTCGCCGTCTCCGCCAAGGTCCTTACGCCGTCCTTGCCAGGGTCGTCCGCCGTCCCCGCCACGATCGCCCGCCGTCCCCGCCAGGGTCGTCCGCCGTCCTCCAGAATCGTCTGCCAAGCTGTTTTTGGCTTTTTTAGTTGCTGTCAAAGCCAAGTGCCCGCCAGAGTGTCCGCCGTCCCCGTTATGGTTGCCCGCCGTCCCCGCCAGGGTCGTCCGTCTGCCAAACTGTTTTTGGCATTTTCGTGCCTGTCAAGGTCATCGCCAAGTTCCCACCAGAGTTGTCCGCCGCCCGGGTCACCCGCCGTCCCGTCCGCCATCCCCTCCAGAGTCCGCCAGAGTCGTCCGCCGTCCCCGCCAGGGTCGCCCAGAGTCGTCTGCCAAGCTGTTTTTGGCTTTTTCAATCCCTGTCAGAGTCGCCAAGTCCCCGCCAGAGTCGTCCGCCGTCCCCGCCAGGGTCGCCCGCCATCCCCCCCAGGGTCGTCCGCCGTCCCCTCCAGAGTCGTTCTCGCGCTGGGAGATAAGGGTACCCAATTTTACTATTGTGCCCCATGGCTAGCAGTGCCAAATCAGGTCTGGTAGACTCGAACTGCTTGGCCAAGCAAGCAGATCTCGAAGCGGTAGCGTTCAGTGGTACCGGCCGCCGCCGGGCGCGGGCGGCCAACGGTTTGGGGATTAGGGTTTAGGGTTTAGGGATTAGGGTTTCGGGCTGTGCTTCGATGATCTATGGAATTTTGGAAAATTTAGGCTTCAGAGATCACCAAGGATGCGATTAACGGCGATCTAGGTGTTTTTTGTTTTGTCGGAATGGAGGGGGTGGCGATTTAAGGCGTTACTTAAGGGTCACTGAAAGGGACCTATACCAGGATCCCAAGAGCTTAACCGCACTATGGTTCAGGGTATCAGCAGCTTCTCTCCTGTCAACTTCTCTTTCTTCAATCAAGGTGAACATGGAGAGGAGCTTTGGGGTTTATGAGATTTCAAATCTTTAGGGGGTTTAGTGGTTGGGTTTTTTTTTTTTTTTTTTTTTTTTTTGGGGGGGGGGTCGTAGGGTCTTTGAGTCGTAGTTGCGGTGGCGTGAGCATTGTAAAGCTCGTATATCTAACTTGGGGTATGTGGATGCTGGGAAGTTGGGGGTAGGGCGCAGGATATAGACGCAGGGTAACGCTCCGCGGATTGGGGACTTGCAGTATGAAACCTGAGGAGTTTAGACTAAAGGCTTAGGCTGTATATGGCTTGGGTAGTCCTGTACTTGATTTGGTCTGGATACATAAGCATTACGGTTTAGGGTGGTTTAGGGCTTTGGAGAAAAGGCGTAGATAGTTAAATAAATATGTATATACATACGGTACATACGTATACACATAAAAACACAATATTACATACACGGCCACATGCGCATGTATGCATGCCTGCCAGCCTGCCTGCCTGCCTGCCTGCCTGCGCGCGTGGGTGGGTGGGTGGATGGATGGATGGGTGGATGCATGCTGACTTAAGTCCTACAGCCCAACAGCCCTCTAGCCCAAGACTCCTCCTAAACCACCAGGGTTGCTCCAAGCCCTTCAGGCCGTGAATTTCAACATTCAGGGTTCAACCTCGAAATTTGCTGTAGGTGTTAGGAGAACTCTAGAATCCAAGTGTCAGGGGTTTAGGGTTGACGGTTCATGGTGTAGGTCCGTGCAGGTCTTACAGGTAGGGTGCAAGAGAGAATCGGAAATATGTTGCTAAACCGAAAGCCGCATGCCCAAGGAGGCTTTGAACAGTATGATAAGAGGAAGAATAGTGCCGAGAATTATACGACTTGTAGCAATGAAAACAGTTGCACTAGTATTATCCATACCATCCCTGATAAGAGGAAGAAGAGTAACTGGTCCTACTCAAGAACCCTGAGCCCGGCGAGGTGCTGGAGTCGTTCGGCCTCATCTCACGACAGAACGCCTCTTGACCTTCAGCTCAGGTTTGGGCTCGACAACTTTTTGGCCACGGTTAAGGGTGTCTAGGGTCTCTCCTAAGAGGGTTTTTGTGCTTTCTGGGGGAGGGTTTCGGCTTTGGGGGCTAGGGTCCAGCCCTGGGCACGAAGCTTCGTTTGTAGAATCATGCGTAGAATACACAGGCATATCCTTAAACGTTTATCCAACAAACGATATACCCTGTATCCTTGAACCCGAAAGCCCTAAACCCTGCTTTTTATTTCATGTTTTGTTGACAAAACCCTAAACTCCAAATTCTAAACCCTAAACTGTTCCTGTTCAGGTCTCCTTGCGCCTGACTCGCCCCTCCACTCGGACGGTCCAGTCGGTGCTGCCCGGCAGGAGTTATTGTTTAGCTGAACCCTGAATCACTTACCTTTCTAGAGCTGCTTGTTATGATTTCCTTTTGTATAGGTCTAAAACGGTAGGTTCTTCGAGGTTAAGGTAGGGCTTGTGGGCTTAGGAGTCCTGCCAAGCCACGCGCCCACAGCGACTGCAGAAATATTCGGGAAGACCAAATACATGCGTTCAGGTAGTTCTGTTTGTCTGTCTGTCTGCCTGCCTGTATTTGGGTGTGTGGGTGCGTAGGTGGGCAGGTAGAGCACGCATGCGAGTTGACACTGACACAACGCAGGCGGTTCTGGAAATTCGTGAGAGTGTCGGGCTTCATTGGTGGGCTTTCATCGATTCATGACTGGTCTTCTTTGGGGCCGATGAGTTTTCATGCAACCCCAAACCCTGAGCCTGAGTCATAGTGAAAATCACGAGCTTCATAGAGATTCTGGCAGAGTAAGCGCTGAACCCTAGACCGGAGGAACATCGAAAATGCCGGGACATGGATTACGGATGAATGTGATGGGATTCTCTTTCCACTCTGTCTGAGGGCGTAGGGAAGAGAAATCGTCGAGCTTTCCGTTGGGTTGGGGTTTCTTTCGGGTTTAGGGTTCAGGCAGTTTCGGGTATAGGGTTTGGGAGTTTTGGAAGGCTCAGACCCCGAATGGCCAGAAGCTTCTGCTACAGACCTCGTCGTGGTGCACAGAGGTTCGTCACCTCCGAATGGAGTCCTTGCGGAGGCCTCCTTTCTGAGATTTTCTGGGCTCCGTCTCGCCTTGCTTTTGAGAACTCAGCCCTCAACCCCAAGCCCTACGCCCTGACGTTGAGGGACTGTCAAGGAAGTCTATGGTTTCGGTCCAGAAGCCTGCCGACCTTCAGGGGAGATTGCCATTCAACGCGTCTGTGTTCAGGTGCTTTCTTGGGGCTTCTATTGAGAAGTTGGGAGTCCACACTAGAGCCAAAACTATGACGCAAGCCATAGACTCTAAAACCTTGACGCCCGCAATCTCAAATTCCTCAAACCCTATGGGAAATCCGTAGAAGCACACTGGCGCCACCTTTCAAAGCCAACCCGCAGAGCACTTAACCTTCACAGGACTCTTATAGAACCATTATCGACCCCTTGTAAAAAAAAACCTTCAAGACCCCTTGCAAAAAACCTTCAAAGGGCTTGGGCAGAAGCTTCATAATTGGATCCTCGCAGCTTGTATATCCTTCGTGGGACTCCTCTAGACCCGTGAGCTCCACCACTACGTACTCCCCAAAAGCCCTGAGCTTTCAAATGCTAGCGACTGAACCTTGATCCTCTATCAGCAAAACCCAAACCACAGACATGGAAAACCCTACCAAAGCACCAACTCCCGTAATCGTAAACACCGAAGAATCGAAACCCTGAAATTCCGACAGCCTTGTGCTGGCAATCTTCTTCTTTATTCCAGGAGAGGATGCAACCTGTGTGTCGCCAAGTCCGTTGAGGTTCCCTGGACCTGGTTGTACATCGTCCTATGTAGGAACCTGATTAAGAACCCCTGGGCTTACAACCCCAAAATAGTAGGATTCATATAAAGAGCCCGAATAAAGGCTCAAGGTTCTTAATCAGGCTCTTACATGAATCTTCAAGGAGTTTCGGGTTCAGGGTTTAGGGTTCCAGGTTGGTGCTTATCGTTTGGATCCCTCTGTTGTGTGGGTTCGGGTTCAGTGATTGGACCTGGGTACTGTCGGGGTCGGAATGGTTGCTTAGTGGTACTACTCCCTTCTCGTCTTCATATGATATAGGAGAATAGCAGAATACACAGCGAAAAGATGTTCTAGTTATTCAGGCCCCAATATTAGCATAGTTGTGGGGTTCGATGGATCAGGATCCAGGCTCCTGCAGGGGTTTAAGGCCTGTGGGGCTTTGGGAGGGGGTCTTTTCTCCACAGGCAACTAGCCTTGAACCGGCAAAGCCCTCAACCCCTTTTTATTTTAAAAACCCTCGAATCAAATACTTCTACCCTAAACCCTAAACCCTAAACCCTAAACCGTTCTCCCTCCCTGATGTGTTTCAGGGACTGGCAAAAAGGCTTGGTGTTGTGGGTGGAGGGCTCTCTCGTGGGGAACAGAAGCCTTGGCGCAGAAACTTTATCCAGAGCCACGACCAAAGCCCCCTAATTAGGGATATAAGTATAGCTACCCTAGTTATAAACCTACTTACAACTACCCTAAACCAAAAATTCCCTAAACCCTTGCACCCTTTGGATAAATCCCACACTGAAATCTACATCCAGGTACCGTGATGTCTGGTGTGCAACACTGGACGATCTCGCATCGCGCCGTGCAGAGGACGGATGCGAGGGGAACGGACCGAACACAGCCCTGGGGCTTAATTTGGGTACGGCCCCCACTCAGTAATAGTTGAATAATATTCACAATATAGATATATTAGGACCTTAATAGTCACCCGAAACCCGAAACCCCTATTATAGACTCTTACTGCACGGGGGCAGTACCTAAGGTATAATGTATGGGGACCCCTACCCTATAATGGACCATATAATGGGTATATATATAATAGCTATATTAAGGGTATATACCTAGGGGTCCTTATTAAGGGTCCCTCCTTTTACCCCTTGAATGTAGGAACCTCTGGATGAAGGGCTGGGGCTTTAGACTTCCGAGGTGTTTTCGGACTCGGCATGTTGAGTTCTAGGCTGTATCGGGCTTTGGGGTTGACGTTGAAGGCTCCAAAGTTCTGTAGATTTTAGGGGTTTCGGGGTATATGTTTAGGAGTTCGGAGGATGTTTTGGGGATGAGAGTCCGACAGTCTGGGATGCTTGAGGCTCGGGGTGTCGAGATACGGTTGATGATATAAGTCCTGCATTACCCATAATAAGGAGTATACCATAATTCCCATAGTTTAGGGTCCTTAAGGTAATGCAGGGTTTACATCATCAACCGTAGCCAGACTTGGGCTTCGAGTTGGGCCTTTGAATTCAGGCACAAGCTTCACGAAACCCTGGTCCAGACCCTGGGACTGAGCCCGGAACCTTTAACTAAAGTCCGAGCTTCCTCACTCTCTTTGTAGGTAGAGTAGCAAACCTTTGCTTATCCTTTTTTTGGGGGGTACTAGAGGCCCTATGTCATCCCAGTAGTTAGCCTTTACTTCCCCTAGGATACTGGACAAGTAGGCTTGGCCAGACGTGAACCTACTTGGAGGTTCATGGGTAGATATATATATATATATATATATATATAAGTGGGGTTATAAGTAGGGTAGCTGCTAGCTGCACGACATGTAGAATTTTGAGGGTTTTGGGGGTTAGTGGAGACCCTGAACCCTCGACCCGAAACCCCAACCATAGATTTTATCTAAACCCTAAACCCTAGACCGCAAACCCTAAGCCCAAAGCTCTAAACCCAATACCCAAAGCCTCCTAAAAGACCTTCTTCTCAGCCCCTACTTGGAGTTTCGTGGGTAGTTATAAGTGGGGTTATAAGTAGGGTAACTATACTTATAACTCATATTAGGCGACTTATAACCCTACCTACAACTACCCTAAACCCTAAACCCTTCAACCCTAAATCCCTGCAGAACCCTTTAAAGAAACCCTTAAAGGAACCCTATTTAGAACTACCCATGAACCTCCAAGTATCAGGGCCTCTGCGCCGGATCGGCGCCGACGCATCAAGAGCCGTGTCCTCCTGGCATGCAGAGGCGGGCTTAAGGTTCAGGCCCACGTTACAGATGCTGCTTAGGGTCTATCTGGCTAGGGTTCTATGTTTGACAGCTAGAAGGGAGTTTCCGACAAGGGTACTATACGAGGGTCCTCCATTTTCGGAAACTCCCATACCATACATAAGCAAAAAGCTATGAATTCCGATTTGTCTGTTCATGGAATTCAGGGCTTCAGGGTTTAGGGGATAGGGGTTTAGGGTTCAGGGGTTTAGGGCTTAGGGCTTTCTGTGACACGTGATTTTGGATTCGTGGAGCAGGCCTCGAGCCGTGAACCACCCTGAACCCGACAACGCCCTAAACCTCCAAACACGAACTTCAATCCGAACTAAGCATGGGTGGTTGTCAAAACTAGGGTCCCTTTTTGGGTCCCTAGCATAATACGGCACCTCATATTTAGGGTACCCAAAAAGGGACCGTAATTTTGACAGCCACCCACATGAACCTCAACCCGAGGCCCCCTGAAACCCTCTTCAGGTTCATGGTCGAGAAAGTACGGCTTAAGAATGTTTTGAGGTGAGTGGAGTGAGCCGCTATGTTTGCAGTTTGGTCTTGAGGCCGCTTCAAACCACAAAGCCTAAATCAGATCCCAGATCCTAATATAGGGGCCGTAATCATTAGAATAGGGTTTTGGGGCCCTTTATACTGTAGTTTTAAATAAAGAGCCCCCCCAAAATAGTATTGGTAATTATTAAGGCCCCTAGAGTACACTCTGAGCTCCGAACCCCAGAGACCCTTCATTCAAAGTAGGAGCCCAAACCCTAGCTTTGAAAGCTCTCAATCCTGAATAGAGGGTCTTCATAAAAACCCTCTATGAAAGCTCTCAGTCCTGAAACCCTCGCAATTCGCAATGGCAGGTCTTAGGCGCTTGCGCATGGTTTGTGCCAGTCAAGTTCACATGTCTCCAAGCCAAAGGGTCAT